CCACCTTCCTAGATACCACCACCCTTTAACTGTTTCGAGGGGATCACTTAGGAGTTAATTATTATACTGTTGCACCTGAGTTTACAATTTGGTGCTCGAATAACATCTCAAAATAAATGTTTGTTATTTCATAATTTTCATGATCCTGTTTATAATAAAACGCATAAGAGATACATAATTCCATCGTAAATGAGACTGACATGGTTTATTTTTAATTTGAAAGTAATGATATATTTTTTATCAAATATTAATTAAAATAATTGTTATGCCAAATATAAGTCAATTAGATGCTTTTAAATAAAACATTTTAACGGTTTAAAACGCGATATATTAGTGAACCGTGACCACGGTTGCTGCAAAGCATCCGAGGGGTCGGGCCGAAGTTAAAAATCATTTTCAAATAAGTTTAACTAATATATCGCGTTTTAAACATTTAAAGTGTTTTATTTAAATGTGTACTACTCGCGTAAACTATAGACAGTATTCAATTAGATGCTTTCATAGCAAAAGCATTCTTTAATATTTCATCTGTGACTGTTCTATCAACTTCAACAATCTCGAACATTGATATAACTTGTTGTACAAAGATATCGGATTCCCTTATAAGATATTGATTGGTGCAAATAAGGAAATCGAATTATTCAATGTCCGCCCCTCATTTGTTTCTCGCTCCCCTATCAAAGAGATGAAGAAATTCTTTCTGAGTTTTCGATTACTTGTCCAATTAATTTTATAGATTCATTTGTTATATAGTTTGAAACATGTTTTCAGTGAGTGTACGATTGATCTCATCTGTTATGCCGCGTGATAAATTGTTTGTTATGAATATTTATTTAACGCTCCGTCGATTTATACGGTAAGTTAATATTGCTTTACAAATACTCATATTATGAATATTAATTACTGTATTTGCACTTTGTCAGAAATTGAAAACACTAGAAATCATAACTGACATTTACGTACAACGCTAGTTTTTAAAATATCACCCTCGAAGCAACAGATGGCGTTAGTTCTTGACATTGACTTTTGGGATATCTGTCAACGGCAGTCCCACTTGATGAATGCTTTAGTACCGTCGAGTGCGAAACGTAATATATAAACCATAGACTGAACTTTTTTTTCCTAATTATAACCTGTGGTTACCAAGCTTGAAATGACAAATGGTTACTAGAATTGTTTATAAGCAAGTGACGTCATAAACCCGACCAATCAAGAGCGTTTCATGTCACGTGACGAGTTAAAAAAAGGTTATTTTAATTTGCGGTTTTTATATATTACACAAATTATTTTTATAATGTTTGACTTTTTTACTATTTCTAACATTATACAGTTTAATGTTGATAACAGGTATTGACGCGGTATTTTTCGCATTGTCAAATAGCTCATAGGTAACTTGGCGACGGCCTCAGTACTCCCTTATCAGTTGGGGAATTGCGACGAGAGGGAAAGTTCCTCCTCACGCCTCTACGCGCATCTGGGTGAGTGCGGTGAGTGAGGACCAACGCACCGGCCATTCGTGATATAATTCGCAACGGCCCTCTCAAGTGAACATTTTTTCGCATGATCAGTGGTATATAAAAATTAATTAGCGCCTTGGGGACATATACTCACGTCACAATCATTATATATAAAGTTTAGTATTGAAAACACATTTAAATAAAACATTTTAACGGGTTAAAACACGATATATATAACTTATTTAAAAAAATATTTATGAGGATTTGAAAGAAATCAATTTTCAAAGTAACTACAATCAAGCGAGAATTTAATTAATTTAATAAATAATTTTTGTATGAAACTTATTTTTGGTTTAACAAGACGAAGATGAAAAGGGGAATTTTTGTGCCTTTCAAATTTACTAGTTATCAACCATTGTAAACTGCGATACACAGTGTAAAAGAAGTTAATTTGGTAACTGCAATTCTAAGTACAAGAAGTGTTCGTAACACAATGCAACAGGGGTTCATTGGAGATTCACTTGCTTCTTAGCCACTAATCCTTCTTACAAGCTCTTTGCGGCATGAGCGTGTGGATGTAAGCTAAAACTTACACAAGAAATACTTAGCAATATCTATTCATTTTCAGCCACATTGTTTTATAGTTTAAATTAAGTAACCAAAACCGTTTAAAATGCTCAATTTAATAAATGAACGAGTAAGTTAAACTTGCAATACGTTTTGAACTTGCCACTAATATGTCAGCGTTTAAACCCGTCGAAAGTTGTTACTTCTGTCCGTATGGGGAACTTTTGGCTTATTATAATAGTAAATAGTAAGTATAAAAGTTAGTTAGTAAGTGTAAAGTAATAATTTCGTTCATGGCGGTTAAATTTGGATACGCACGCGATTGGATAGTACAAATCATCTGCTATCCAATCAACTTAATTTTGAGTTACAGCTTACTAAGAAGAGACACTCTCATTGAAATTTTGCTTTTTTCCAAGAGAATTCATTTATTTCTACGAATTATTATTTTAGGTATTCTTTTAACAGACAAAGTTATAACTGGTGGCATATTTTAACTATACAAACAATAAAAATTACGTTTGTTTCAATAAATGGAACCCCTCCGCACTGTTAACACTCGAAACCCTTAACAAAATCATTTCCATTCCATTTTCCAAAGTGAAAATTACCTACGGACGGTCGAAGGGGTTAAGGATTTACTGTTTGTTTCGAATCGGCCTTTATTTGTATTAAAGGTGTTTAAGTGTAAATGGATCTTTTGTGATTTCTGTTACTAGTGTTTAAGATTGATTAACTAATTGAATGATACACTTTTAACTGTTCAAAAAGCGAAATATATTAATGTTTTTGGATGTTTTGAAGTCTGGCCGTAATTCAAAATAAGTTAACTAATAACCCATTTGGCATAATAACCCTTGTAAAAATATTTTATTTAAGTACTACTCCCGTAAACTACAGATAATACTTATTTATTGTCTATATTTACATATTTCTTCCCTTCAATCATTCGTTTTAATATTAATTTAAGCAAAGAATACGTGTGCTGTAGTGTATTGCTTCTTTTCTTTTACTTAATTTGACCGCCTGCAAAAATAAATGGTTTAACATGTGTCAGGTCCGGAGATCGTTTTCTGAAGAAAAAATAGATTTTTTCGGTCGGGCAGGGCATAGAAGTGATCAACTACTTGCCTGTAAATAAAACAGATCGGTGAAAATGACACAAATGTCTTCGCTCCATGGGGAAAACGGGAATTTCACTTGAGTAAAAGTTTACAGTATATTTTTGATCATTTAATGAAGCGTAGGTTATGTGTCCAGTAATTTGTTTGGCCTATTCCTTGAATGTCAAAATAACAAGCCGTTGGATATATCCGTATTGTTTCTATTGAACCGACGACACAATAAAACCGGATTTATAAATCAAAGATGATTTAATACAACCTCTTATCCTAACTCCTATTCCATCTTAGGATTATATTATTTATTTTTTGACATAGATCTCTAAGGATTCGGAATCCATTAGTTAGATAAAAATAATACTCAATTAGTCCTCACGAAGGAGACGGCTTGTAATTGGATTAAATACTTAACGGATAACTATGACGTCATTACTAAAGAAATATTTGGTAGTTTATTAATTTTGACTTTTAATAAATACCCATGAGATTTTAAATTAAAAAATTGATACTACAGACAGGATTCGAAGCCATCACCAAGTTTTACGAAATCGAAACGCGATCAAACTTTCCATCTGCTTTTTCTGTGGTTTGTAACTGAACATTATTACGATATTCCTACCACCCCTTTAATTAAGACTTCCAGACGAAGTCCAACGTGTTTCAGACACGATATAAATTGATTAGAAAAATGTTGGATCCGGTGGGGATCGAATCCACGACCCGTTGACTATTAGCCATACGTTACACCAACGAGCCCATCAATATATGTACTCTTAAAAGTTTCACACGATACTATAAACATCATTAGCTATGTTGCGCATGCACAGAATTGTAGTTCGAATTGAAACCACTCATCATCCACAATGAACAATGTAGGAGAAAACATGCATCTTTGTGTTCGCATTGAGCTGACGGTATGGCATCCCACCTCAATGAGATGTCTCAGTGGGGAGCCAACGGTAGCGCAGCGGTCTTTTTTGTGTCGGCCAGTTTTATCAAACATGTTAATGGCTGGCTTTATGGTGCCAACAAAAGAAGCGTGCCAACGGAGGCGTTAAATCCCCAACGATTTGATGATTATCGTCATCGTTTGTCATAGGATCAATTTTGAACTTATGTCGCTAGCGGCGCGGAAGGACTACCTAGTTCCTCCGACAGAATGGAGGATAGACCAGGGGTAACTAGTTCAATGATAAGCTTTTTTTATTTTAATGTTTCGCGAGTTTGTGAACATGAAATAAGTTGTTCGGAATTTTCAGATAAATTACTATCAATCTCTTTTTAGGATACTTCGATTCTACTACTAATTGGAGCGTATTTTTCTTAAGATTATACTTTTGCAGGTTGGCTACCCCTGGTAAACCAAAGACCAACATACCGCGCGCTAAAATAAAACACAACCATGCTTAAACAAACAGGCATTACATCTAGGTAAATTTATCTGTGTTCAGGAATTGTAAACCTATTCAATTACAGAAAGGGTGTAACCTGGAACCATTACAACGACAACTACTTTTAACCACATAGTTCGATCGACATTAATTACAGTAAAATAAATCACACCACATATAGTTCGTCTTCACTTCACTAGCCAATGAAGCATTCAAAGAAATGATCTCAAAATCCAATGGTCAATGATAAGACAAACTCGTAAATGGAGTGAGTAAAAACCATAAAACATTGAAAATAACACACATTTAAGCTTAAAATTTTGGTGGAAGATTATACTGTTATCCTGCGTCGTGGTTGTCGTCTGGTCTTCCAGGCTACACCGTGGTACCGCGAGCGACCAGTCGAGGGGAACCCGCCCGAACGCTTTCAAACGAAACCGAACGCAAGCAATATAGCGACATACCTGTCTGGCGCTTTCATTGACAGGCACCTGAAATGAAGAAAAAAAGTCCATCCAATTCGTTGAAATTTTTTAAATTTAAACAAACAATTCTCTCCTCGAAATTGTACACAGATAAATTTACATGCAGATATGTCGTAGAAGTCTTACAGGCTACATAAAATAACTCGACGTTACGAAAACACAGAGCAACAAAAATTAAAAGTAAACATTCGAACGGATCAAACAATAATGTGGCAAAAACATTTAAAAACAACATTGCAAGATGTATTAGGACAGTTGTTAAAATATGGGGTAGCGTGGAACGGCTTGACTGCGATGATATTGCACCGGCACGCGATGCAACCGTGTTCGCGTACTGCACATCGTACGCCACCATACTAGCTATTATTCTATCGATTACATCTCATAATTGGCCTCACATAAGCATCGCCCGACGCGTCGAAATCGGAACCGGCATGTATGTAATCGTAAAGTATTAGCTAAATCCGTTGAAACGTAAAAGAGAACGATTAATATTGAGTCATTACGATATTGACTGCCCTATCCCAATGGACGAATTTATTAGATTATTGCCGGACGGGATCACGCAAACGAAATCGTAAATTCGAAGGAAGTCAATTTAGTTAAATTGAATCTAATTCCGACGAATTTCCTTTTAATGTGATTGTTTTTTATTTACCCCTATATAACGTGATCGCCAATATTTAATATTAGTCATTTTTATATGGAAAAACAATTTGGACTCGAATGCGCTATCAACATGCGCTAATGTTTACTTCGTTCAACCGATTGAGATAGACCAATACAATAAAGATCAGTCATTTGTAAAAGATTCAAAATTTTTTAAATTAAATTGCAATTCTCAATGACTGGCATTTCTATATATTTCTGAAGTGTCAATATAATCTACACTTACCGCTCAACTGACGCCGCGTACACGCAATTCAAAATACTCGAAAAAACCAATCTATCAATATTAGAACACAAAAAATAATGCAAGTCAGTTAATAATCCTGATTCGACATTCGACAATGGAAATAAAGTCACAGTCACTTTTTTAATAATGGCAATTCAGTTTTTCTTTTTCTACCGCCACCCTAGGTTCGTTTGACATTTGAACCGGCTGATGACTCGGCCCGTTATGATTGATCGTCGCAACGCTGTAAATAAGTGTAATTTAGCATTAATTTTTCCATTCTATTCCAGATATATTATTGTTATCTGCGCTATGCTAAAGCAATAGAAATCGATCAATAGTACGGTTAATAAAAATATTAAAAAGGAGTGTGGGCGATGTGAAAGAGTGACAAAATAAACAATACAGACGACAGATAGAAATCTGATGTCAGTAATAAAGCAATATATTTGAATAGTTGAGTTACTATATATTTTATAAAAATAAGTATTTAATCATTATAATATTATGGAACTACCCACCTTCAGCTAAATAGTTAAATGTTTTGCGTTACGCGCGAGAGGTCATAAGATTGAGTCCCGTGGTAACAATAGATTATTCTGAGGCACAGAATTCTGTTCCTGACCTGTATATAAAATCCGAACAGTGAAACGGACACGCAAGTGTGTTCGCCCATGCTCCAGGGAAGGAGACGGGATTTCACGTATGGAACTAAATTGCATTAAAAAATAAAAATATGCGTTCTTCGTGGAGTTAAAAATAGTATTATTTTCATACAAATTAACTCCAGTCTAGCGTTCATTTGTCAATCTGCAGTGTCATTGATAGTCTTAAGGATGAGAGTTTGAAGCCATCGTGCGTGAATATGGCCTTTTATCGCATCGTATAAGGTTGATATTATATTCCGGTCCTCGAGTCAAGAACTCTCGAGGTAATATTGGACATACAAAAGATGGATTGTTAAGGTTCAAAATTCCGGACGATTGTCTCAAATCCAGACCGAAAATGAATGACTGCATACGATTTATCATCGCGGCAAGTATCCGCCCAGGGCGTAACGAATCACTAGTAAATAAATTGACCACAAATATTTCGGATCTTTCTTTGATCGCGGACTGATTGTTTTCGAATGAATTTCCGAAACGTTTCGAATTCGTTATGAGCAAGAATTTGCACGTTCATTAGAAATTCTTGTGAGAAACTTTGCAACAATATATAATAAACTAGCGACCCAACCCGCCTTCGCTCGGGTCCAATGCTGATACTAAATACACTACAGAAAAACTGTGAACTTTTCATGTAAAAAACTTCCTCTAGAACGACTCTATCTTAAAAAAAAAACGCATCAAAGTGGGGTTTTTTTTCCCCCAAGAAAAAAATGGCTTTTATTATACATATCGTTTTATATAGCTAACATCAAGAACTCACTGCCTTCTTTTGCTCAAGGGTTAGGCCCTAGAAACCAGCTCTTATAGGGAAACAATATTTCGATCGGGCAGAGTCTAATCAAAACTCTATTAATCTAATCTTTGAATTAAACACAAAAATGTGCGAGGTTCTTTTTAACTATATACTTTCAAAATAGAATACTTTTAACGGTTTAAAACGTGTATAATTTTAGGCTTATTTTACTACTGTTAGGCGTTTCGAATTACAGCAGTCGTGGTCACTGTATATTCCGTGTTTTAAACCGTTAAAAGTGCTTTATTTCAAACTACATAAATTTTATGACCATGAAATCGTCCTATATAAATCTAAATAAACTGTGACTGTTAAATTATTGATGTACTAAGAATGAAATGAGATCATACAAATAAATTACATGTGATAGACTCGAATTAGAGTGATATGTTTTAGGTACCGCGATCAATTGATAGTGATGTGTCGGGATGTGGGGGTCTAGCAGCCTATTTAAGGCTGTTTATCTCACACGTATTACAACTGGTGAAATATAGAGAATAAATAGTAGTATGTTTTGCTAATGTTATTGAATGTTTTAAGGTTGAGACTTGTCTGTAGTTTACGCGAATTAACTAATAATTTCACATTTAAATGAAACACTTTAACGGTTTAAAACGCGATATATTTTAGTTTAACTTGTTTGAAACTTTCGCGTTTTAAACCGTTAAAGTGTTTTATTTAAATGTGTACTACTCGCGTAAACTACAGACAGTATTTAATAATTTCTCGTTTTAAACAGTTGATGTCTTGAGAATGACAGTTGAAGGCGAACGTCTTTGAAGCACATAGAACAACAAAATCTTTATAAATCTCGGCCACAGATTATAACATTCGTTAACTTAAAATACAGTTCTTAATCAATGACAATTTATAGTCTGTTATAATTATATAGTGTCTGTAATTCTTTCAATGATATAAGCTGTTTGAATATTTACATTTTCATTTGTTTATAATTTAATTCCAACTGTTAATTCAACTGAAATTAATATAGCACGATGATAAAGAAGGATAGAGCCCAAGGTAAACACTCTTCATGAGCTGCTCAAGGGGGTAGAAATATCTAAGCTCTCAATTAAAAGGTACGTTATTATTTTCCGCCCCTTTTGCAAATCAAACAAATTATTGCGTAGATCTCATTATTTACTTTGTTAATCTGTTATCAGATTCGTTTGTTATTATTAAATTAAATATTTTCAAATACAGGTTAAATACTGTCTGTAGTTTACGAGTACTACACATTTAATTAAAACACTTTTAACGGTTTAAAACACACTATGTATCAGTAAAACACATTCAAGTTAATTTGTAAATGAGTTTAACTAATACATTTCGCGTTTGAAACCGTTAAAAGTATTTCATGCAAATACAGGTTCCTTTTATACAATTTGCTTTTCTTTTTACTAAAGAGGCGGACAAAAAGATCATATTTTTAAAGGTCAGTATCCCAACCCTGATATGTAATTAAGGTCTTTCTTAGCGTTGGTCCTACAGAAATTTATCTAAAACCGAACCGCTTACACTTTGCTTTCACGTCGGAAATTCGATATTCCCGCCACCTATATTATTTCCAGATATTCCAAACGTAGTCTTAAATGTATAGAAAATATACATATCTAGAAATACGTTAGAAGAAGAAGTATCGTAATTATATTAACTGTACATACATTTCTTCTGTTGGATCAACGAGGCTGTCTATTTTTTTCATGTCGACGAAATTTTGTGTTAAATAATTTTTATATTAAAACGATGCTCTGTCTACCTATTTTGTCTTTGGATATTCGGAAAACTACCTTTCCAGACAGAGTCTAACATATTTCGTTCGAACATGTTTCGTTCATCGAACCCACGAACCGTGGATTATTATCGATACATAGCCACCACTACACCATCTTTGGTGTAGTGGTGGCTATGTATCGATAATAAAACTCTTTTAAGTATTAATAAGTAAAAAGTATTGTAAAAATGTCGACTGTGACGTTAAAGATTTAATTGTGCGCTAAAAGTTGAAACAACAGAAGAAGAAGGGCGAATAACTCTTCCAGCACACCTGCCCCAATACAAAGTTTTGACGTAACATTTTTGAAGAAAAATAATTGCACATTTATCCTCTGGAGGGCTTTAATTTCCCTTCACCCGCAATTCAGCTTCTAACCAACCCAATTAGTACATTGTTTCTTACTTTAAAATTGTATTAAGAATTCTCTACTGGTCTTGTTATAACAGAAGAACATAAAGAAGAAAAATACAGCGTGCATTGCGTACATTGTTATAACCACATGAGGTCGGTTCCCGGACTTAAATTAAAGTTTCTATAAAATCGACTAGTAAGAGGCTGTATAGAAAATTTCTCTTGCCCAATGCAAGGTCAACACGAATTTTCTTTTAATGATATACCTTTTTTCAACTGATAGTGTGAATGCCTAATGCACACCCAACTCGGGCAATAACGACGTGGGAGTGTAGTAAATCTTACCACACCCTCCTCGAAGACAATAGCCGACTAGAACCACCAAACACACGAACAGCCTGCTACGGTGCTTTGAGGGAGCCCTGGTAACACGTTTGTACGACTCTAAAGCTCCCATTTTATGGCATACCTAACGTCCATGATGACTCTACGAAAACAAGGTAAAATTTGATTTTTATTTAG